CCTGCATTGACCTAAGAGCGACTCAGCTCCATTCAGCAGAGCTGTCTCCTGCCAAAGCCGTTACAATTTCTTAGCTCCAGGCGGAGACAGACTGCAGATGGCTTAATTTAGAAGCATCTCAGAAGGAATTCTTTGCTCCACAGCTCTTCATCCTTTGACTCCGGGGGTCCACAGGGTCGTGACCACAAGCGCTTGAGGCCTGACTTGTAATTGGGACCCTCATCTCTGGCTGAGCCGCTATTTTAGGAGGAGAGAGCGTGCGTGCGTGTGTGCGTGTGTGCGTGCGTGCGTGCGTGCGTGCGTGCAGGATGGGAGCCACACCATTCCCAGCAGTGCCTTTCACTTGCCTCATTTCGGTAAAGATCTGGGGCCAGGAGTCCCACGGCTCTGGGTCTCTGAGACCTGGGGCAAGTGACTTAACCTTTTGGGGCCCCTGTTTCCCCACCTGTAAAATGGAGACAACGCCTGGATACTCTGAGGCTTGTGCGAAATAAGTGCACTGCACCTGACAAACGGCAGGTCCGTTACTGTAACAGCCTGAGGGTCCCAGCCACCAGCCTCCGGAACAAATGCTGCAGAAGGGCGCCTGCTTCTTGGCGCTCTGAAAGCTGGAACGCCCTTCTCCGTGGACTCCCATGTTCTGCCCGGGGCTCTGGGGATTTCATGGGTACAGAATAGGGCCCCTTTCCCTTCTCTATCTAAAGGACAATCTCATGAGGGCAGCGGGTAAGCTCTTGCTTGAGTTAGCTCTCAGGAGGGTCGACCAGCCCCAGCAACTAAGCATCTCCTTCGGTTTTCACCTCCAGATTCACACACGACCCCTCTCCTTCTGCTGACACCATTTCCCCTGCCGTACCTCCCTTCCACCTCCCTCATCCCAATCCTTCCAGGCCCACCTGGCCTGAGAAGCCTTCCTTGACCACCTGAGGCCAGGTGAGTTCTGCCCTCCTCCTTCCTTCACTGTCTCATTCATTCATTCACTCATTTGTTCACTCTTCCAACTTTGTTTCAAAACTTCCTGAATGCCAGGCCCCATGTCAGGCACTGGGTGTCCTCAGGGAACAGGGCAGGTGCAGACCCCACCTCTTAGGGCTCTGGGTGGACACTCACACCTAAGCTCCCCTGGATCCACCCCAGGGATGACTTAACTCCGCAAGAGTCCAGCA